CGTGGCAGTTAACACACCGCCTCAAAAAGTGGTCGCCCGACCACAGTAGAAGGACCCGACAAAATCCCTAAAGCAAAAAAAAAAAAAAAAAAGCCTATTCATTAAAAAAACAAAGAAAAACAAAGAGACAGAGCGGGAAGATCCGTAAGGCGTGCTGGGGGGGGAGGGAGAGAGAGAGAGAGAGAGAGAGAGAGAGAGAGAGAGAGAGAGAGAGAGAGAGCATCCCGGCAAGTTTCTCTCCGTCTCTGTCTGTCTGTCTTTCTGTCTGTCTATCTGTCTCTGTCTGTGTCTCTCTCTGAATCTCCCCTGATTCTAGTGTGAATGAATAAGGGTATCCTGGATCTCAGAGTGAATGGATAAGGGTGTCCTGCATTCTATGGTGAATGGATAGACAAGGGTGTCCTGCATTCTATCGTGGGTGTGCTGGATTCTAGTGTGAATGGATTAGGGTTTCCTGGGTTCTAGTGTGAATGGAAAAGGGTGTGCTGGATTCGAGTGTGAATGGATTAGGGTTTCCTAGTTTCTAGTATGAATGCCTCCGCGTGCGCTGGATTCTATTGTGAATGGATAAAGGTGTGCGGGATTCCAGTGTGAATGGATTAGGGTTTCCTGGGTTCTAGTGTGAATGGGTACGGGTGTGCTGGATTCCATTGTTAATGGATAAGAGTGTCCTGGATTCTAGCATGAATTGTTGTGCTGGATTCTAGTGTGAATGGATAAGGGTTTCCTGGGTTCTAGTGTGAATCGATACGAGTGTGCTGGATTCTGTTGTGAATTGATAAGGGTGTCCTGGGTTTCCTGGGTTCTAGTGTGAATCGATACGAGTGTGCTGGATTCTAGTGTGAATGTCCTGGATTCTAGTGTGGATGGATACGGGTTAAATCACGTCCTGGGCAGCGAATTGGGCCCAACGGGGGACCAAAGAAGTGGGAGATGAAGGACCCAAAAAAAAAAAAAAAAAAAAAAAAAAAAAAAAAACACTTGTGGGCGATGAAGGACCAAGATGTTACGGGTGTGCTGGATTCTGATTGTGAACAGAAAAGGGTATCCTGGATTCTTGTGTGGATGGGTAGGGGTTAATCACGTCCTGGTTTACTCTGTGGATGAGGGATGGAAGGAACCAGAAAAAACCGAAAAAGAAAAAAAAAAAGAAAGTTGTGGGCGGACCAAACTAGTGAGAGATGGAAGGACACTTTTGGACCCCGGAAAAAAAAAAAGAAAAAAAAAGATATTTTGGACCTAGGTTTCTGCAGGTAGGCCTCGTGGCTTCAGGGGGGCTAGTCCACGTGGCGTCACATGGGCCTTCAGACTGGTGGGCCACGTGGCCTGGCATCTGACACGACGTGGCTTCAGCGGGTTAAGCCACGTGGCGTCAGATTCGTAGGTGGGCCACGTGTCTTCAGATGGGTAGGCCGCGCGACGCCACGTGGCTTCAGAATGGTAGGCCACGTGGCTTGCTAATTCGGGGCCAATCTACGTGCGCAGCCTGGATCGAGGGATGCGCAAAGTTTTCTAACAGGGAAAGAGTAAAGCAATGAGCTGGGTTGTCTTGCGATAGCGAAGCTCGGCTTGATGAGCACTCTCGGACGACTGTTTTGTCTTCACCCGAATAGAACGCCCGGTCGTTGAGGAGCTGTACTTTTGGCAACTTTCAGTCTAAATACAGCGATAGTGACCTTGAAGAGCATTCTGTTCAGGTGAAAAGACGGTAGGGCTGCAAATTGTCTGTCGTCGCGTTCGAGAGTAAAGAGCATTGTTTGCCTCTGCCTCTGTGTTTGTTTGTGTGTGTGTGTGTGTTGAGAGAGAGAGAGAGAGAGAGAGAGAGAGAGAGAGAGAGAAGATGTGTGTGTGT